TATATAATTATATAAAATATAATTATATATATATATTAATTATATATGCTACTTATAATTATTGGTATTTTCATATTCCTAAAGAAAATTTGACGTTTTTGTAATCCATTGTATTCTTCACTATATAATGACTACATTAAAATACAGTTTAGCCCAGGGGTGGCCAACAGTTTTTGCCCCTGGGCCGAATTGGAAAGAAAACTTTTTCCATGGGCTGAACCAGAGGCTGCCCTAGGAAGATTTTGAGGTGGTGCAAGATCTCATTGTGGTGTCAGCCCATAAAGACTGAACTATAGATAGAGATTACAGATACATTTTTCACATTATCATGCTTTACCAACACTCTACACTGTACAGGTAACCCCCGTATAACACGGTAGTTACGTTCCAAAAAATTGCCGTGTTATACGAAACAAATAACTAATACAAAAAGGAGGGTTAGGTTCCAAAAATTAAAAAACATGCTAGTATATTTTCATAATTAATATAAATATCTTCATTAAAATTTTTTAAGTGATACATATTAATATAAATTAAACAATGTTTTCTTCGTCATCACTAAAAACACTATTAATTAACCGAGAGCGTTTTCTTTTTGGCAAGTTATCCTTATCCTCTGAGCATTTTTCTGCATTATCTTCAGATCCATGCTTTACCTTTTGCAAAATGTATGTAATTTTAGATTGCTTGCTTCTAGTTAAAAGGTCTTTATAAATTTCCTTATATGGTGCTAAGCACTTATGAAGAATAAAGCAAGTATGGAATAAGGGAAAAACATTCGGCAACATCAGAAGCAGAAGCGTCGCGATCTGGCAACATTGAAACAAGTTTCGAGAAGGACCACGTGTATCGACAGAAGGCGAGAAGAGAAAATTTACATACTTAAGTACTAATAGTTCACGAAAATAATAATTTTCGTGAACTATTATTACTTAAGTATGTAAAAATTTATTACATTTCCTGTTGTACGAGGGTTTTACCCAATTCTCGAACCGTGTCAGAGTAAATCTGTGCTATAAAAGTACCGTGTTATATGGGGGATGGTACCAATTCTCGAACCGTGTTAGAGTGAATCTGTGCTATAGAAGTGCCGTGTTATACGGGGGTTCCCTGTACTTACAAGATTTGTAATGGAGGGTTAACTCTAAATGCACAGTGAGTTGTTGACCTTTTTTTTTCTGTTTTTTTTTTTTTTTAGGTATCAGAATTTTTCATCGAGCTATTCCAACTTCAGTAGCTAATATTGATAGATTGATCGTGGGCCACATAAATTCATTAGACGGGTCGTATGTTGGCCATACCTGGTTTAGCCTCTATTTAGATGTAACAGTACCTCTAAATAACAGACAAACTTCTTGGTCCCAATAGTGTCTACTATTCAGAGATTATACTTGTATATGAACAAGCTTAGTCAAGCTGATCTGATAGCACACTCCACAAAAGCAAATCAAATATTAATTTTGTTTAAAATAAATTTTATAAATTCTTGGAATCAAGTAGTTGTTGAGCATGCACGTGGACATGTACAATAAATGGATTGAATGAGGCATGTGCAAGCAAATCTGACAGATCCACATCTGAACAGCACACAAAAGTTGTAACATAAGCACTTCTCCACTACAGGGGAGCATGCTAAAAAGGGCAAGAGAAAAACTGATTCCTAATCTGCCTCAAAATGCCATTGTTATTACAATGTGCCTGCCTTATCATTCTGTTCAGATAAACAAGTCTTCTAATTCTAAGAATACTAAACAAGACATCATGAATTGGCTTACAGGTCAATGGAATTCCATATTCATCTGACTAGGATCACATAGGATCAAAATTCATATTACATAGGATAAATTTTGCAATTAACTGAAGTTTGAAAGCTCCCAAGCTTAAAACTTACAGAATTAGACTCAAAGTTGGTAAAGGTGACTGTAATTTGTCTACCAATTCTGATGATAAAATGTTTTTTTTAAAGATAAGTGATTTTACAAAGAAAAAATAACTTCTTCTTTGCTACATTTAAAAAAATTTTGCTCAAGATCAGATAGAAATTTATTAAAATAATAATATAGCAATTTGCACCATAAAGTATTTTTGTTTTTATGAAAACAGTCCTTCTACATCCCTTCCATATCAGAAAAAGTGACACCCTAATTTACAGATAGACCAATTTAGTTCACACATGCCTACTTGCATCAATGGTTTCTGCTAAATTGGGCAGACAATACTGGTGAGTGCTTCAATTCTGTCTTTACTGTTGAGTGGCAAATTGCCCCCATTGCTGACATGCTCTCTGGGAAACCATCTTGGACAACATTTAATCACATCAATTAATGATATGAAGACATTGATGGCACAATGGCAGGTTCAGAAAATCCTGAACCCTGATGCATTGCCTTTTGTGGAAGAACTGCAGCCATTTTCCAGCAAGATAATGCTCAACCATACACAGTTAGTGTTTCTCAGAAATGTCCTTGTTATGTTTTCAGACTTTCTTAGCCTGCCTGGTCTTCAAGTTTGTTATCCATGGGACTAGATATGACACCAGCTTCAGCCATTTTCAAGCATGTGAATCTGGAGCAGGAGCTGAAAATTCTATAGATAAATCTATGCAGGATACTACAGGTAACCCCCGTATAACACGGCACTTCTATAGCACGGATTCGCTCTAACACGGTTCGAGAATTGGTACCATCCCCCGTATAACACGGCACTTCTATAGCACGGATTCGCTCTAACACAGTTTGAGAATTGGTACCATCCCCCGTATAACACGGTACTTTTATAACACAGATTTACTCTGACACGGTTCAAGAATTGGGTAAAACCCTCGTACAACAGGAAATGTAATAAATTTTTACATACTTAACTAATAATAGTTCACGAAAATTATTATTTTCGTGAACTATTAGTACTTAAGTATGTAAATTTTCTCTTCTCGCCTTCTGTCGATACACGTGGTCCTTCTCGAAACTTGTTTCAATGTTGCCAGATCGCGACGCTTCTGCTTCTGATGTTGCCGAATGTTTTTCCCTTATTCCATACTTGCTTTATTCTTCATAAGTGCTTAGCACCATATAAGGAAATTTATAAAGACCTTTTAACTAGAAGCAAGCAATCTAAAATTACATACATTTTGCAAAAGGTAAAGCATGGATCTGAAGATAATGCAGAAAAATGCTCAGAGGATAAGGATAACTTGCCAAAAAGAAAACGCTCTCGGTTAATTAATAGTGTTTTTAGTGATGACGAAGAAAACATTGTTTAATTTATATTAATATGTATCACTTAAAAAAATTTTAATGAAGATATTTATCTTAATTATGAAAATATACTAGCATGTTTTTTAATTTTTGGAACCTAACCCTCCTTTTCGTATTAGTTCTTTGTTTCGTATAACACGGATTCGCATAACACGGCAATTTTTTGGAACGTAACTACCGTGTTATACGGGGGTTACCTGTATATGGTTACCTATATGTCTTCATACCCAACCATATTGTCACATGTATCCAGGTAAAAAAATGTTCTTACAAGATATTAAAGGTTTCTTTAAACTGTACTGTTGCTTCAACTATTGGGTTGTTCAGAAAGTAAGTTTGTTTTTTTCTGTGGAAAAAAATGCAATATTCTTATAATAAATAAATATTTTATTGAATATGTTGACCATTTTGGTCAAATACCTGTTGTCATCGTTTCTGGTAGTAGCATGATTTCACATTCATAAAAGTTTTGATAGTTGCTTACAAAAAACCAATCCAAGTGATTTTTGACATTGTCATTTCAAATAAATGTATTACAGTTAAAAAAAATTGTATAGACCAGAACAAGTAATAATCCAAGTGTGCTCGATCTAGCAAATATGGATGATGTGATAGCATGTCCCATCTAAGTTATAACAGTTTCTGACGAGTTACCAAACTTGTATGAAATTTGACATTATTGTGGTAAAACACTACACCTGTTTTTTTTTTATCAATTCTGGCCGGCTTTTTCTGTTTGATGATATTTCGCAATTTGTTTACTCGAATGCAGTATCAATTGTTAAATTGTTTGGTAAAAGCTCCAAACAAAATTTCCTTAATATCCCACCAAATAGAGCATTTCTCTTTAAGAACTTGTGGAATTCATATATCGAGCTTTGAAACGAAACCAATTTGTTTCAAGTACTCATAAACAGTTCAATTTGACAAATTTAATCTCTTAGTGATTTCACATGTTGTTATTCCGCAGTTTGCATCAATGTGTACTTTTATTTTGTTTTCATTGGCTTCAATTGGCCATCCATAACATGGTGCATCTTCAATACTGAAATTGCGATAATGAAATTTTGTAAACCAGTTTTGGCACTGTCGTTCTGTCAACACATCTCCACCATACAGGTCACACGATTTTTTTCTTGCTTGAACGGCATTTTTATTTTTTTGGTAATAAAAATGCAAAATATGCTGAAGATTCTGCTTTCGATCTTCCATATTTGATGGGACACAAAAAATAGACAATTGCACGAAATCAAACAAAATTTTTTACAATAAATAATCCATAAAATGCTAGCTGTCAAAATATATAATAATAATACGGTTTAGAATGAAAATGGGGAAAAAATTTGACTAATCCGTCTAGTGGAAAAAAAACGAACTTACTTTCCGAACAACCCAATAAAAACTGTTCATTCATCAAGTTTGCACTAATAAAGTTTCAATGACTCCTTTGTGCATTGCTTTTTTTTCTTAAGTGTATTTTAATTATTTCATTAATCTATAAATTATTAATTGTTGCATTCTCTAGAGACATGTCAACTTGATGTTAATTTCAATATCATTACTAAATACTTTTTAAATTATTAAAATATTACAAATAATATATGTTTTAATTCTTAATATATTGTTATTTTACATAATATCTTACCTTCAAATGTTATTGCTGAGGTTTCAAAATAAAGTGCACCTATTGAAATAGCATATTGAGAAGCTTCTTTTTTATCAACAACACGCTTTAACTCAAGATCAATTTTGTTACCTAAGATACACATAGTTACTGGCTCTTCAACATTTCTTTGAAGTTCTGTGAACAAAATAAATTACTATTTATACTACAAATTTATGAATTGTGTGACTTATTAAAAAAGTAAAATAATCAGAAAATAAAATTTTGATATAAAGCATATAATATAAAAAATTTTAAATTATAAATGTCTATTAATATGAATATAAATTATACATTTTACATAATATTTGAGTAATTTTATTAATATATAAATGATAAGATCACTTATTATTCAAAAGATTAAAATAAAAATTTCAAATATAAGAAAAATTGTTATAAATATTTAATCAATCAAAAACAGAATTAAAATTAATTTATACATTTTAATTATATAAAAATATTCTACTACCTTCAACCCAAGTTTTCATAATTGTAAAGCTTTCATAGTTAGTAACATCAAAAACCAAAAATGCAGCATTTGCATTTCTATAATATAAAGGAGCCTTTAAATAAAAAAGTAAACATTACTTCTGTTTTAGATATTTGAATTTAAAACAAATTTCAAATGTAAATAAATTTTGAATTTTAAAATCATTACCATTGATCGGAAACGTTCTTGTCCAGCAGTATCCCATATCTGAAGTGTTACATGACAATCATTTACTGACCTAAACAAATTTTTATACAATAAAAAAATTTATTTGAACTGCAATTCAATTTGAAATTACAAGATTTTTCATGATAATTTATAAAAATAACTTATCCTAAATTTATCTATTAAATATTTTATTTAAACTATTATTATATGTTGTTTTCACTAATACAATGAGTCCCCATTACAACAAATCTTTTATTCCAAAAGAAATACAGTAGAGCGTTGATTTTCTGAAAGTCAATCATCTGAAACGTCAATCATCCGAAAGAATTCCAGTTGGCAAATTTAAATTTTCGCCAGTGCTGTGGCACTTCAATCTTTGGCTATGTCTTGGCCTACTCAAATATTTTACGTTTTTGATACTAAATTAACGTCTGAAGTATAAATTTTTATTATTTTTATATTTTTCAATATATTTATTTTGTTTGTACAAAATAAAAAAATAATTTTTAACGATACAATAGTCTTTGTTAGGCTTAACATCGACGAAAATTCAACGCAAAGCGACACGCAATGGAGAAAAATTTCGACATCGGATACGTTAAACTATTTTTTCGTACATAAATCAGTTATCCGAAATATCAGTTATCCGGACAACCCCAGTCCCCAATTGATTTGGAAAATCGACACTCTACTGTAGTTTGTTTCAATAAAACTTTATTTACATTGTCTTTATTGACAATGTTTTACTGAAAAAACTGGTTATATGTGATTATGTTCGATTTTTGTCACATTTCAAGAATTTTGATATATTTTGTACAAATTTTCATATTGAAGTTGTAAAAGTTTAATAACTTCATAGTTTTAGATAATGTTAGACTAGTGGCAACATCATTACTAGCAATTTCTTTGTTATCACTTGTAAGATGTTCATAATCAGAATCAGTGTTTCCCTTAAACTTTTTTTATTTTCAATCTGTTGTTTATCAGTTAATGTTTCAGAACAATAATATAATATCATCTGCATTAACAAATACTTCATATAAACAATTAATATTAGTGGTGATTAGGGTTTCTCATTTCTCAGTCTTTTGCTTGTCCCGTGATTTCGGGAAAAAGTGAACTGTTTCCTGGGACCGGGAAATACAGGATAGAATTAATTATTTTTAAGATATACAAGATATCTTGAAATCAAATGATATAATTATTTTTCATTTTTTAAAGTAATTTAATATGTTCTGCAAGCTCCAAAATCATATTAATAATGCTGTGTAAGATATATATTAAAAATTACCTTTGAATTATGTAGAAATTTTCACAAATAGAAAAAATTTATTAAAGTTTGCTGAAAACTTCATACAACAACAACAAAAATGCTTTGAACCAAGTTGAAAATNGACAAAAATTCAACGCAAAGCGACATGCAATGGAGAAAACATTCAACATGCAATAGGTTAATATATTTTTTCGTACATAATCAGTTATCCGAAATATCGATTTTCTGAACAACCCCAGTCCCCAATTGATTCGGATAAATGATGCTCTACTGTAAAACATATTATAAAAATTTACAATAATATTTTGTATTAAGATTTTAAAAAGCAAAGATGGCCAATACTCTGATCACTCAATCTAATTCTTATTTTAGTAATGAAAAGTCCTGCTACCAAGAATGCCTTTTCCGATTCAATTGATATGAGTGGAATCATGTTTAATGCATTTAAGAGAAGAGATGTTATGTGTTTTTTCACCTGTAGCCTGGAAGATTTCTAGTTCATTTTCAAGATTGTAGTACTTCTTTTGCTCTCTAGTATTCTTGATTCATCTACCTTGGCTGCTTTATCAAGCTTATAGCCCAATAATTCAGCAGTTTGTTTGTCATTAATAAACAGATTTATGAAGAAAAACTTCATTCTTGCAAACTTCATACTCATTTGTATCCTTGCCCAATTTGTGTAACCTTGCATTACGCAGTTATTGAAGCTACTGGGGCATGGTTAAAAATTAAGACAGCATAAGCACAATTATTCCTGATATTACAGGTTCTGACAAGTAAAGAATTTTCAGAGTCCTGCCACAAATAAGCTACATATTGATTATTGACCATTTGTGACATGCCATAATGAGCAAAAATTTAAAAATCTAATAAGTAGGTTTAAAATTAATAAATACAAATGCATTCTGACAGTTTATGAGAATTATACTTTCTATTTGCAAAATTTCCTCAACCTTAACACAAAATAAGAAAAAAGTAAACTTTTAAAAAATTTGCAGGATTTCCTGGGATGAGAAGAATTTCCCGGAATATTTCCCAGGTTAAAAAAACAACCGGGTTCCCGGGATCCTGTTTGAGAAACCGTAGTGGTGATGTTTCTTAGCATGTGGAATGAATTAGCAGCTCCTGTTTGAATATTATCATTAACATGAATTTCTTCACCTTCTATAACAACAGACTTTATAAAATAATTTTGAATATTTTGAGATTTAACTGATTTGACTGTATTGGCAGTGTATTCAATGTCAGCCTGTATTTGTTACACAACTTCCTACAATAATGCAGTGGCGTGCCGTCATTAGAAGCGTTGGAAGCGCCGCTTCCCTCGTATTCTCTAAAAAATAAATAAATATTAATTTTAATTATATGAAAATAATCGCACAATATTTTATTATAACCGCATTATGTATCTTATTATAATTTTCTATACTACACGTGGAAAAAAACAAAACAAAAAATTGCTATTGTATATTAGAATATTAGTGACGGAGTGTAATCTCCTGTATTTTCAGATTACGAAAAGCAAGATTTGCGCATGCGCTTTACAGAATACCAACCTCACCCGGTGTAGCCGGTGGAAGCCTACGACCTTGGGTGAAAGCTGCACACATATAAGATTACAACTCTGTCAAGGACCGGTTCTGGGCTGTTAGCCGCCTGCCCACTAGATATTTCGATTACGTGAATAA